CAAAGGTGGTCAACGTCAAGTCGACATTGCCAAAAATTTGAAGCTGAAGCGTAAAGCGTTTGGGCAATATTGAACAAATATAAACAAAAAGGTATCTGGAAGCCTCTAAGGGAAGTGGTCGGCCTAGAAAACTAAATGCTGCATCAGTTAGATTAATAAAAGTAATTTCGTCCAAAGATCGGTTTAAAACCCCAAGACAAATAAAAGCCGAAATCGAGACAAAAGGAATTGTCAGTATTTCTACGAAAGCTATAGGTAGAAGATTAAATGAGTTGAAGTTATTTGCACGTCGCCCGAGTACGAAGCCGCTAATCTCGAGGAAAAACCGTAAGGACCGATTACAATTTGCACGGTTGCATCTTGATTGGAGCATCTGTGACTGGAAGAGGGCATGTTTCAGTGACGAATCCAAGTTCAATATGTTTGGATCAGATGGTGTTCCTAGTGGACAAAGATTGAACCCCAAGTACACTTTGCCTACTGTCAAACATGGAGGCGGGTCTGTTATGGTTTGGGGGTGCTTTTCGGGGTTTGTGATCGGACCTTTACATAGAATAGATGGCATTATGGTTAAGTTTGTATACACAGACATACTAAAGCATGTCATGCTACCCAAGACAATATGCCCTTAATATCAATCTTCTAGCAAGATAAAGACCCGAAGCACACTTCAAATCTCGCAAAGAAATTCTTTCTGGATGAAAAAATACCAGTTTTTAAATAGCACTCACAGTCTCCCGATATAAACCCCATTGAAAATCTATGGGAATACTTAGATAAGCAAAAACGAGATAAAAATTATCCAATCAAGGATGAACTTTTTGCCGCTTTAGAGCAAAAGTGGAGAGATTGATGAATCTTATATCAAGAAACTTTTACAATCTATGCCGAGACGATGCCAGGCGGTGATTGATAATGATGGTCATGCTACAAAATATTAACACAAACATGGTTGGTTTTCTATAATTCAATGAACTTTGCTTCTTTTTTTCTATAATTGTTTTGCTTTGTCTATATATTTTTGTCCTTCATTTTTTTTCAATCAATTTTTTGTTGAAGGGAGTCTAATGAATTTATTTATGTATAAGTGAGTATTATGCTATAACGAATTATGTATACAGGTGGTTGGTGTATTAATAAAACAAGTTAAAAAAGAAATACAGCACAATATTGATCTGTCTATATACTTTTGTCTATTACTGTACATCCATTGTAGACACATTTTTTGTTATTGTTGGTGATGGTGGCGGCATCTGGTAAGCACTCTTAAAGTATTGGAATACATAACCATCGTGAGAAATCCTGTAAAAATACATAAACTGCATGACAAAATGAAGTTAGTGGTTTATATGATCAACACAATTTTATTGGGCCATTGAGTGAGGTCGGTAGAATTTGAGCCATACTGTGCCGTGAGGCCACTGTCAGGTTTGTATTTAGAAATAAACCCTCCTAAAACGAAGGTGAAACGTTTTCTCCACAGACTCTTTGAACATATATATCGTATTATACGAGGTCTACGACCGATTTCTTTTTAATTTTTTGATCTAAATACAATTTTATATTTTCACCCTCAAAATGACTTCCTTCTGAAGCCACACAGGGCTGGAGACGGTTTTTCTACTCCTCATAGCGGTGCTGGAATTCCCATACTCAATAGGCTTCTACTGACCGGTTACCGCCATTTGAATGTTTTCGACTGTCCCAAAATGACTTTCCTGGGGGTGATTTTTCAACTTCGGGGATAAAGAAAAGTCAGGAGGATTCAAGTCAGGCGAACAAGGAGGCTGAGGAGCCACAGGAATGATTTTAGTGGCCAATATTGACATGTGAGTCAAAACTAAGTCTTCCCCGATCATGTTGAGTGTCAACCGATGATCCCGGATTCAGTCGATATTTTCATCGGTTCTTGAAGGTGAAGGTCTTCTGCTTCTGGTTTATCTTCAATCGACTCTCTCCCTTCTGAAGGTTTCTTAAACCACCGAAGAACCTGGGCTCTTGACAAAACACTATCTCCATAGGCCGTCGGAAGTTTAGCGAGAGTTTCCGTTGCACTGTGTCCAAATCTTGATAGCACAGCGTTGCTCGAAATTAACGTCGCTCATTTTTAGAGCACAACAGGAGAAGCAGCTTCACAAAATAAAAATCGCTACGGAGAACCAAATGACTCGGGCGAGTTCAAACTTGTACTAACGGCGGATGACATGTCCCCCGTCACCCCTCTAGCTCCGGCGCCATCAATGTTGCTAGATCGAATGCGACGTTGCCAGTCTCATCAGTTAGTTTTCAGACCACGTATATCGGTTGTATTTAATCAAGATTCCAACAATTCTTTCAACTTTCATTGTAAACATATTTTAACATTCTGTTGAGTCGTTTTGATATATATTGCCTGGGAAATCAATTTTTCGAAAGCAGCGATCTAAAGTTTGATACTGATACGTGTTATTCTTTGAAGTTTGGGGAATCAACAGATATTAAAAGATAATTTTTCGTACTATTTAATATATGTTACTGACACTAGACCATCGATACACAAATATATTAACAAAGAAACAAACGTTTCATACACACCTTTCTGGTAAATCAAACAATTGCAAATATTCATCGTATAAATAAATATCGCCCGAACAAGCCACAAAATGCACAGAGCTGTCTAATTTTGATAGGCCCTATGCTCTGCACAGAGGTTAGTTGCTCAGCTTTGGTTCGCTATTCTACCTGAGACCAAGCACTGCACCATGCTGAGGATTTGCCAAATAGCACGAAACAGCTACTAACTTGAGGATTAGTCGCTTCTGAATTCCTTCTGACCAAGCCTCCAACAAGGCCGCAAATATCTGAGTCCATTGGTATCAGAAACCTAATGAGGAAAAAGGTGAGATATATACATTTTAAGACTATTTTTGTTAATATCAACATTTTAGACCCAAACACACAATTCATATGGTGATTCTGAAATATCCAAAGTAGGTACTAACATTTTATAAGGTATCACTATTTATTATACGTGATAGTTACCTTGGCATACGTTTTTGTATCCACTGCTACAGTTACGAACTCTATTGGTATCATAAAGATGAATATTTGTTTAGCTATCTAATCCTGAAATATGATACACCTGAGCTTGCGTTCTTTGCAGTTAACAACAAAGAAAAACGCTTTCTCTATTTCAACGGACGAATGATGTGTGTAAATATAAGTTTACCACTTCATTGTTTGTTAGAAGAAATGCTGCAGACAAACAATGCCGGGCAAACACATGATATAATAGAATGAAAGTTTACCGTTACTATCATTGCTTTTAATCTACGAACATGTTTAATTTATATTATTTATACCCGCTCTAAACTTAATACCTGTCGTTGTTCGTTTTTATAGCAGGTTTGTCCTTTGAAGGTAGTGACTGTAGTGGTGCTATTTCATATATTCGTATTGTTACGTGTAAAAATAAAATAATAAAACATATGTGGAAAAATTCGAGGGATTTATCGACAAATCGGTATAACTAGCAACGCTGGAGTGGACTCGGAAACAGAAACAGAAGCATGCAAATTGTTTATATGCAGATGCACAGATTGCCAGATTGTCTAGTACTGTCTTGGGTTGCTTCTAATTTCCTCCCATTGCGTGACCATCTTTCAAATCGTCAAATTTCTGCATATACAGAATCCTTTGAAAGGCTGAACGAAAGTATCGGTGACACATTCATAGCTATTTTCATCATGATTCAATCGAAATCATCTTTCGTTCTTGTAATTCAACAATACGTACCATTAACCGTTACTAAGCTGTCAAAAAGAAACTGTTCTCGTTCACCTGATTTTTTTTAATAATTGCATATATCCTAGGTATACACATCAGGCATGTCCTAGCAAGGGTTTTCAAACGGTTTGCAATTGTCAAATTCAAGACACTAAGCGAATTGTGAAAAAGGTCTCACTCTACTTTATGCGTCAAACTTAATTGTCGATCTGTTTGCAACTGTCCACGACAGAACATGATTATTGTTCTTTGGTACATACAAGTATGTATAGTATCAAGTGCTTTCAAGCCCTGACGTCACTCGCTCCAAATCCAAAGCCGTTTGGAACATTATGCGGACTTACGACGGTAATCACTATTCCCTAACAGACTGTTAAGTTATTTAACACATTGTTAAATCCATTTTTAGTATTCACCATCAACGCATCATAGCAAACAGTCTGTTAAAGTCACGGATAAGTTAACAGCGCGATGTTGGACTGGTAAGCCACTAACTGACTGTGTAATACTAAAAAGTCAAAAGTGTCATCCCGACTTTATTTTTCCTGGAGATTTACAAAATACAGTCAGCGAACAGCGAGTAAGGGTTTTGTTTAAGTATCAAAATGGAGCCTCAGTAAAATTGATATTATCGACATATTAGAATGTTCTATAACAGACATGAGTGACATTGAAGATATCCCGAGAGAAAGAATTGTAAGAGTAAGGTTTACCTTGACTGAACTAGATGATCTGGAGTTCAAAAGAAGATTTAGAATAAATAAAAATACATTTATGCGACTGGAAACTGTATTGCAAAATGTTCCAGAACCGATAAATATAAGGAACCAGCCAGTCTCAAAAGAAAACCAAATCTTGATATGGCGGCTAAAACTTGAAACTATGTGTGAGATTATTGTGGCAACTGCTGTCTGTACAACATGTGCTTTAACAGAATGCCACTATCGATTTTTTTAAGAACGGACCTGAAATAGAACACTTTGAAGAGATCCAGGTCCGAATTGAATCTCAAGATACTGCAACAAGAGACTCAATAATTTCATCAATAAGTTGTCATGAAAAAATTACTTATCATGTGATTTATGTCTTCAAAGTGTCTACCCGTTTAAAATAAAGTTCTTATGGAAATTATTTTATGTATTTTACATTCAATACGAATAACTTTGCCTACAAGTTATCATCGGCACCTGTATCTTCATGGGAACAGTAAAAGGATTAAAAGTTCTTCAAATGTAGTAATTCGAGGAATAGATACCCCACTATCCGTTTTTAACAAATTCACCTGAAAAAAGAGAACAAGTTAATTTCTTTGTCCAAATCCTGTGAGAATAATGATACCTTGTCTTCAGATTTAAGTGGTTTTGCTTTTTAGTTGTTGGCCAGTTCTTAGGCCAGTTGTTTGAATGAAATACCCAGGCAAGCTTCTCTCAACACTTATTTTTCTGCTTGTAAAATACCAAGTTAGTCTTATTGCTTTCGATATTTTACAACGAAGGAAATTATTGTCTCTTGATGTATACTAAGTGACATATATATCCGAACACCCAGTTTAAATGGTTTTATTTTAATAAAAGTTGGTGAATGTATTTATCTTACTGCAAATAACAAGTGAAAAAATTTTCAGCCTTATCAGTTGGACATTCCGGTTTTTAGACTGCTTTTTATTAATTCACGAACGCTCTAAAAATGAATATTTCAGCAGCAGTAATGAATCGACGTTGGCGGATTTTGGTTCTTGACATCCTTTACGATCGGTTACGATACCTATAGTACGGAGACCTGTACGATTTCGTCAACTTAGTGAGTTTGATAGGGGCCGTATAGTGGGACTTCGGGAAGCTGGACTTACTTTTCGGGCAATTGCAGTTAGAGTGCAAAGAAGTGTAGACACTGTGGTTAGGTGTTGTCAGGCATGGCTTCGAGAAGGCCGTACGCAAAGAGCAAGGGGCACTGGACGCCGCCGTAGAACAACAGACCGTGATGATCGCCGCCTAAGATTATTGGCCTTAAGGGACCGTTTCTCCACTACCAGGTCCATTGCAAATGAATGGTTTGCAGAACACGGAAGACCTATTGGCATGCGAAGTGTTTACCGACGAATAAGAAGTTTTGGCTTGTTTTCATAGCGGCCACACTGGGTCCTCCCTTTAACTCGAGAACACCGACGTAATCTGCTTAAGTGGTGCAGACAACGGTCACTCTGGGATCAGGAATGGATCAGTATTGTCTTTAGTGACGAGTCTCGATTTTGTTTAGGCATGCACGATGGTCGTGCCATGATTAGAAGGCGACGTGCTGAAAGGAGGAATCCACAGTTTTTGGTTGAAAGACATGTTCATCACACTGTTGGAGTTATGGTTTGGGGTGCTATAGCTTATGGTTCCAGGTCACCTTTAATCTTCATCAGAGCTAACATGAACGCGCAGCGTTATATCCACGAAGTTCTAGAACCCCATCTTTTACCCTATCTTGACACCCTGGCAGATCCAACTTTCCAACAAGACAATGCCCGACCACATGTTGCAAGAGTCGCAATAGACTTCTTTCAACATAATGATGTCACATTGTTATCATGGCCACCAAGATCTCCCGACTTATCCCCAATTGAGCACGTGTGGGATATGATGGGTAGGAGATTGCTCAATTTGCAACGTCCTCCTCAGACTCTAGAAGCACTTCGAGAGTAGTTGGTGGTTGCCTGGAATGAGATACCACAGGAGGACATTGACCACCTGATCAGAAGCATGCCTAGGCGCGTTGGAGAATGCGTAGCACATCAGGGTGCATCCACACATTATTGAAGGTCAAAGGGCTTTAAAGCAGTGCAATCATTATTAACTTTTTATCATTTACTTATTATGCTTCATTAAGTACTTATACAAAATTTTATTAAAATAAAACCATTTAAACTGGGTGTTCGGATTTATATGTCACTTAGTATATATTCAGCCGATCTTTTTTTTTATGACTTTTCCATGATGCAAAAGCATTACAAAACTGACACTGAGAATGATGACCACATGACAACACACAGCAGTTATAAAGTGCGGTTAGATGTGGTTCCCTCGTTTTTTGTCAAGAGGCACCAACTTAAAGAAATTTAAGATTTTTGTATGACAATCAGTTTGTTATCAGAAGCCGAAAAGTCTTGGTGAATACCACTATTGTTTAACAGATTGATATTTTTTGTACAACTGATAAGTGACAGTCTGGCAAACGCCGAATTGGTGAATACGACCTTTATGAGAAAAACATATAAAATGTCATCTTGCAGACTAGGTGGTAGTTTTTAGGGTGAACGCAGTCATTCCACGTTTGTTTACTAGGATCTTTGTGATTTTGATTATGTGTATTGGTCTGCATGTGCATAAAACCAGTTATATTTGCTCTGTGAGAAAATCAATACTGAATATGCACTGAGTGACAAGAGAAGATAACCACCTAGGTATGTTTATCCGATTTTAATAGTTTTTGACATATGTATTCAGTGCCCCTAGTAAAATGATTTGACGTTCAACTTGATTCGTCAACTGTCTGCAGAAGCTGGTTCAATAATGTGTTGAGGATCCACGATTTCTTATTCACTCATTGACACGCTTGAGCAACGTGGTGCCCAAGGTAAACGATTGATGCGATGTTGATCCATGAAGGCTAACGATGCTCTGGCCACATGCGGTCTGGCATTGTCTTGCCGAAGAATCGGGTTTTGAATGGTGTTTACGTATGGAATAAGATGAGGCTGCACTATTTCAGTTTATAGGCAAATCCATAAAATACGATTTTTTACGTTTTCAAAAACTTTTAGGGGAATTACGGGAAATCACCACCGCACCCGCGTTGTGTGTAATTCACTGGACAACAAATTTTAGTTTTTTAATTGTATCTTGTGGGAAAAGTGCACTTCTTTGTTAATTTTGGGGCGCTGAATCCAAAAATGACAATGAAATAAAAAAATTAGTTGCGGTTTAGAAAAAAAAATTTAATTTTTAAGGATATATTAAAAAAAGTAACAAGATTCATATACTTATAAGAATCACTATATGCGCTGTCTTTTTGCTGTTCTTTTATGGATCGTTTCTGGAGCATCTCTACCAAGAGTCCAACAGTAGTCTGCAAGCATGGAAGGATTCCACTTTCCCTGGTACCTTTTTTCCATTGTTGAAATATCCTGATGAAAACGTTCGCCGTGCTCATCACTTACGGCTCCGCAATTGTCAGGAAAAAAGTCCAGGTGTGAGTGTAGGAAATGTATCTTAAGAGACATATTACAGCCCCACTTTTGATACGATGACAGCATATTTTTGACAAGGGTTTTATAGTTGTCAGCTTTTCTATCTCCCAAGAAATTAGTGACCTCCAGGCGGAAATCATTCCAAGCAGTTTTTTCAATACCTGTTAAAGTGTTTTCAAACTGTGTATCTTTCAAAATATTTCGAGTCTGTGGCCCATCAAATATACCTTCTTTAACCTTTGCCTCACTTAGTCTTTGAAATTTCTGACGCAGGTATTGAAAAGCTGACCCATCTCTATCTAATGCCTTGACAAAGTTTTTCATTAGGCCCAACGTGATATGCAGTGGTGGTAATAAAATTTTTTTCGAATCTACTAATGGCATATGCTGTACATTTTTTTGACCTGGCTCTAGGAATTGACGAACAGGCCAGTTTTGTCTGGTGTAATGAAGTGCCTTTGCCCGACTGTCCCATGCACACAAAAAACAGCAAAACTTTGTGTAGCCTAGCTGCAGCCCAAGTTAAAGTGCAACAACTTTCAAATCGCCACAAATATGCGTCATCGTATTTTATGCATGTCAATAGGTACTTCATATTGTCATATGATTCTTTCATGTGAACTGCATACCCTACAGGAAGAGATGGTAAAATATTTCCAATATGCAATAACACTGCCTTTAAACTAAATGTTGAACTGTCTATAAACAATCTCCATTCTTCTGGGTTATAGTTTATATTTAAAGCTGCCAGTAAGCCGTTAATGTTACTGCAGAAAACCAAGTTATTCTCCATATTGAAAAATGGTTTTAAGTCTTTGTGGCGTTTACGAAAAAAACATACCGAAACATCGTCTTCCACTGCTGCAGTCTTGATCCAAGTAACTCTGCCTTACATTTTGGAAGTTCTAAATCTCTTACAAGATCATTTAATTCTGACTGTTACTTTGTGCGGTTGGTGGCATGACGTGCTCGGTATAAAATCAGGATCTCTTGACGTTGATGGCATATCTTCTTCCTGACGAATCACTCGATCGCCATCATCTGATTCGTTTTCTGATTCGCAAGTGTAGGATTCTGGGGGTTTTGGAATAGGATTTTCGTCACTGTGAGGCACAGGTCTCATCGCAGATGGTATGTTTGGGTAGTTAATAACAGATTTTTTTTTCTTGGACATACCTGTGGCTTGTCCAACACAAGGTACCATGCAAAAGTAACAATCATTAATATGATTTGTAGGCTCTCTCCAAACCATTGGACAGCAAAGCGCATAGACCGTTTTTTGCCATTTAACCAGCTCCTCAGACTTGAAGCACATGTATTACATCAGATGTCTTGATCACCTAGTTTACAACCGAAATAAAGCTGATACGCCTTTGTTATTAGTGGAGTAATAGACCGTCTCTGAGACGCAAAAGTCACATCACCACACACGTAACAAAACTGATCTGGATTGTTTACACACTTGCATGAACGCTGTCAGCCAACTGAGGAAAAAATGGCTAACATAAAACAATATAATGTACACGTATGTATAACGTAACACAATCATGCCGATTACATCATCTTTCACTTGCCGAATATAAAAATGTAGCACGTGCATTCTTGTGAATTACAGTATATTAACACTGTCACAGCAGGAACACATATAATTACCGTATCTCTAAAACTTGAACTAATATTGAAAAAATAAGTTTCATTCCGGTTTTAGCACATTAAAAAAAGAAATATTTTGTTGATTTTATTTAGGATATTTTTTGGCTGTTGATCAGTGATTATTGTTAGCACGTATACGACTTGTAATTCAACAGTGTACAGTGAATATAGTTATTTGTTATCTCTTTCATTTTTGAAATTCAGCAAATTTGTATATATAATTTCCAGAATGGATAAGAAAAAGTGGATGCGCACACAAATCCTCACTAGGCGCCTATGCATTGCCGTTTCCTTCTAGATATAGTACACAACTCAGACCTTAAACCTCCAGTAATGCCATCTCTGACGCAGATCTTACATCACATCAGAGCCAAACATTGATAACTGTAGCCTCACGACGTTTAGGCAACACGTATGTACATCTACATAACGAGTTCACAACGTGTCCATCAGCTAGTGCTAAGTTAACATCTTGCAGAAAAACCTACATAATGTCACAAAAAGCTAATACAATATGAAAAAAAAATCGGCCTAATGTCGCTTTTTAAGATACGTAATACCCGTGCCGGGAATACAAAGGAAACTTCTACTTTCGGTTAGCAAGCAAATGCAAAGAAGCTTTACAGTACGAAACTTACTATATCCTTAATTATGAGACTAGACATCCATCCTAGACCAACATACTCAATGCAAGAATGGCTAGTTTTAAAATCTCATAACTTGTATATCGCCATACATTACTACTGCTTTGAAGTCCAGAATCGTCGACAGTAAATTGTGATCCAACTGCATCTCTGCCAGCACGCCGGCGCTAATTCCACCTCGATAATGATTAGTTACGGCTTATG